GCCGGCGCCTGAGTCGGACCCGCGCCGCTTGGCGCGGACCGTGATGGAAACTTCGAGAACCTTCCAGAGCTTTCCAGACTTTTCCAGAACCTGCGAGTTGCTGAACCACTTTCACTGAAGCGATTCGAGTGCAGGGCGCCCGCACACGCCCACCAAAGAGGGTCGTGCATTTGCAAAGAACCCGCGAACTTCGTCTAGTCCCTGGGGAAGCGGGGACCCCACGGGACGCTGGGAAGGAGCGGGGTGGTGCACCCAGAGGGGCCCCTCGCCCCCCCACCCCGTATAATGTCATCATTCACGTTCGAATAGTGTGCATAATAAGGTCAAGACATGGTCACCGTGCAACGTGACCGCCGTCCCCCTTGTCTGTGGTGATGCGTGCCAGGACCCCAGTGAGGCCTGAAAGCACGGCCCGAACCCCACGTCACCCCCGCCCGCGGTCATCGCAAACCAGGAGCGGGGTGAGGGACGCCCACCCTGCGCCACCAAAAATCCTCGTGTCCCTGTCGATTCTGCCGTCGGCCTTTTGCACCGCAGTGTCCATCCGCGGTTGGCATGGAAGGCGGCCGAAGCTTCGCCACCCCAACCCTGCCTTTGGGGACGTCGATTTCAAGCCGTTTGCTCAGAAACAAGATGCCCAAGAGTCCGTGGGAAACTTGGTTTATTTAGGCCGCAGCGGCCTGGTTTGCCCTGAGCCTGGAGGGCGGGAGGGCGGCAAGCCAGTGTCTCAGGAAGCACGGTCCCCTCCCCCCAGACTAGATGGGACTCCCACTCGCCCCTTCTCCAAAATGTCAAGTAAACCTGATGTCACCTCGCCGTCCTGGGAATGTCCATGCTTACGCGAATCTCCCCGTGCCCGCGTTCTAGACTGTGACTTTCTCCTGCTTAGTTGTCTTGTTAATTTGGTTCTTAGCCCCCCTGGAAGACCTGAAACGATGCGGAGGGAAATTGCGATTTTTTTTTTTTTTTTTTTAGCACCCACGCCGGGAGAAACGCGAAAACCTGCGGGCGGGGACATGGAAATACTGGTTGGTGGAGTCTGGGTGTGGACCCAAGGGCCGAGTGTGTTTCTTGACGAACACCCTCGCGTGAGCGAGCCTGGGCAGGTCCAAAGCGGCGTTATTCCAGGGTCAGTGGTACCTACAAACTCTGATGAAGTTTAAATGACCCACCAGGCACAGGACAGTGGCAGCGATAGGTGGCCACCGGTCACGCCAGAGGCTTCGGGCCGTCATTAGGGAAGAGTGACCCGAACACAAGCACTGCTACTTGGAATGACGAATCGTTGATTTCTGGAATTTTCCATCACGTTCTTTTTGGACCGCAGTTGGCCACGGGTAACCGCAACCACGGGTGTCCTGTGACCGCGGATACGGGGTGGGGTCCTGTGCACCGGCACGGGGCGCACAGAGTGATGATTCGATGTACGCGTCTGTTGCCGTCACCTCGTGACGCGTTTCCACCCTGCTCGAACCCGGGCCCAGCGTGGACGCGTCGCGTCAGGTCGAAAATGAAAATTGGCGATGCGGGTGGCGGGGGGTCGGTTTAGGTCTCGTCAGCATTTAGGGCCTCGCAGTCCTGACATGGCCCGCGGGGAGAGGCAGGAAGGAGCGGTCCCCCAGGGCCTTTGTCCGCCTGGCTCCTGGACGGCCAGCCACGTGCCTGCCTCTCGTTTTCTGAATTTCACATGTCGATCGCCGCCAACATGAGGAGGACTGTCACCGGACACCTGAAAAGCGCCCGCGGGGCCACGGCGGGCGGTCCGCTCACTCCAGCGGCTGCCGTCTGTGTTAACAAGGTCAAGGGCTCGGTCGGGTTTCCATTGTGGTCCCCTAATGGCCTAATTAGGGACTCGAATGGAGTTTAACACCGGGTGAGTCTCCGTTCAGAGGCCATTTTGATGCTGCAGTTCAATTGCTTCAGAAAATAGAGATTCGGCGCTGGCTCGCCGGGGAGGGGTGCGGATGCGCACGGGTTCGTCTCTCATTCGGTTCGCGGTTCACTGACATTTAATACATTTTCATCCCTCATCATATTAACAAGGATGAGGAAGGGATGGCCCCAGCCCCAGCATGGGGGTCGGGCGGGCAGTGACGTAACCGGGCGGCTGGCATGTGGGAATTGGGGTGCTTTCGAAGCGGGCCCTGCGGTGCCACCGTGAGTCCCCATGACGTGGGATGTCTGTTCTTTAAATAAACATTGGAGAGAGGAGTCAGCGATGGGGCCTGGGCGCACGGCCCGACAGAGGAGACACCGACCGGCCACGCTGAAGCACCGCACCCTGGCACGGCCGCGGCACTTGGGAAGCTTCCTCCAACGCGATGACACGGAAGGCGGCTCACTGCCTGGGTGGTCGCCACTCGGCTGACCGCCGAGAGCCACGAGCCGAAGCACGCCATTGTGCTTGCCCGTGGTCCTCCCGGGCACTGTCCCTGTTTCTAGTCCCCGGCCTCAGTCCCGCCCGCGGGGGCCCTTTGGCCGTGTCGTGGGGCGTACACGGCGCTTCCATCTCGGAGGGCCCATCTGTCCCTGCGGGGATCACGGGGGCGTGCACGGCGTGGCCTGGACGCTGGACACACCGTGTCCACCCCTCGTCGCACAGGTCCAAGCACATCCACAGCTGTGGCCAGCCGCCGCCAGGCTGCAGGGCCGTCTTCCCCGCTGGGCCACGTGGGGTTCGATCGCTCAGAGAGCAGGGACAGCGAGGACAGCAGCCAAGCCTGTCACAGCAGAACCTGACCACACCTCGCACCTGTGAGTGTCCCCCTCGGCACCGGGCGCCCCACCTCTGGGGCTCAGGGGGCATAGCGGGGCTGACTTCGGGGAGGCAGGTGCTGGGGGGTGTACGGCAGATTCGAGCACTCAGGCTTGCCCTGCCCCTTGGGTGTGTCATCTGTGACTCAGTTTCCCCACCGCGAATCGGGGAGACCACCCTGTCTGCGGTGCGTGGAGCCCAGGCAGGGTCCTGGGTTGATGACTGAGTGACAAGTTCGTGGTGAGTGGACAGGTGCTTCCCCACGGGGCTGCCAGGGGACGGTGCCAGAAAGCGCCCCGCAGACCAGAGCAGAGCTCCAGGTCCTCGGGACGCCAACCAGGGCTCGTCAGACGGAGGGGAGGCTGGCACTGTGGCTGGGGGCCGAGGACAAAGCCCCCACATCTAAATCGCTCTTGCCGAGACCTCAGATGCCACCACCACACCTCCTGTGGGCCAGTCCCGGTCCGGTCCCCCACCCGCTCTCAGCGTCTGTGATGGGTGTGCCAGGCAGAACCCTCCGGGACCCCGAGTGCTCACTCCTCTCCCCTGGGTGGGGGTAAACCTGTGACGTGAGGGGCGTGACGCCCCTGATTCTGTGATATGACATGGCAGAGGCAAAGGGATTTTTCCAGCGGAATTACTGTTCCTAATGAGTTGACCTTTAGTTAACCAAGAGGGAAACACCCTTGAATGGGCCTGGCCTAGTCAGGGGAGCCCTCGAAAAGAGGGGCTGGGGTCCTCCTGAGGTCGCGGAGGCTCTCCCGCGGGCCGTGGAGAAGCAGCTGCCAGGAAGGGGATTCGGCCAGCAGCCTGGCAGCCCGGGAGGGGCCCAGCCTCGGAGGCGACACAGCCTGCCGTCCCAGAGGCCTGGGCAGCAGCCCCAGCCCCACGGGACATGAATGAACACGCGGGGGTCCCTCTGCCCCCCGCGGTGGGATCACACATCCCCTCTCCGCCTCCCCCCACTTCCGTTTTTGTGCCCCACCTGCCGCCTTGCCCTCCCACGGCCCGTCTCAAGTTCCAGCTCCTCGTGGGACCGTCGCTCCGAGCCTACAGTCGGCTGGCGCCTAAACCGTGGTGGGCCTGGCCTTATTCCCTTCCATCTGGTGCTCTCCCCGCCAGGGGCAATGTGGCGACCTCGCTTCCCGCCCCACTCAAGGCAGACGTGGCCAGGGCACTCGCATGGGGGGCTGCAAGGTGAGTGCAGCGTCGTGACCGGTGTGCACCTGCCCTCGTCTCCTTTCCGTCCCCACCCCCAGGTGCCAGCTCTGCCCCCGGTGCTGCCTCAGCAGCCAGTTAGTGAGGCGGGTGACACCACAGAGCTGGGCCCAGCAACTGCAGGAGATGCTGGCCTGTGAGGTCCCTGTGGAGGCCGTCACCAAGCACTGCGAGCTGGTGGCTTCAAACAACAGATACTTACGATCTCAC